TCTCTCTCTCTCTCTCTCTCTCTCTCTCTCTCCACCTTTACCTGACCTCTTCCCTTGCTCCATACCCCACCCAACCTCTGCCCTCCCTCCGCCCGACTTCACCCTGTCCTCTTTCCCCTTCCTCCCGTCCCCCTTCCAGTTCCTCCTCTTCCTTCACGCTTTTTCTCATGCTCATCTCCCCCTTACCTCTTCCCTTCCTCCATACGTCACTCAACCTCTAAACTACGTTCTGCTTTCTGTCCTCCTTCCGCCGCACTTCTCCCTGCCGCCTCCCTTTTCTCCCAATCGCCTCCTCTGGACCTTCCTTTAAACCTCTGTCTGCTCTCCCTCGCCTGGCCACCTGACTCCCCTTCCTTCGCCCAATCTCCGCCTGACCTCCTTCCCTCTATCTCCTCCGTCTACTGCTTCCTCCGCCCGATTTACACTGACCTCCCCCTTCCCCCAATCTCCTTCCTCCCCTTCCTTCCTTGGCCCGATCTCCACCTGACCTCCTGCTTCCGCCCTACTCTATGCCGCCATTCCCCTGCCTACTGGCCTCCTCCGCACCTTCTCTTCAACCTCCCTCTGACCTCTGTCCGCCTGGCCGCCTCATTCCCCTTCGCTCGCCCCCTTCGTTCGCYTGATCTCTGTCTGACCTCCTCCTTCCCTCGATCTCCTCCCTCCCCTTCCTTCCTCAGCCCGCTCACCACCTGACCTCCTACTTCCATTCCTCCCTCCATCCTACTCCCTACCTCCCCCTTCCTTCCTCTACCGGCCGCCCTTCCTTCGTAACGCCCGACGTAAGAAATCCTTCTTTTCCTTTATCCGGTGGACGTATACGCGCCATATGTTATCAAGATCGCTCCATTTCTTTTAAGATCTCAACACTGTTGCACACGCGCAAGAAGGAGAGAGGGAAAGCAGGAGTCCTCGCACCTTCTTTGCCCTTGTCTCTCTTCCACCACCACGTCTTCTGCCTCCTCAACAGTCTCCCTCGGTCTTTTCTTTTTGGAGCGGCCTTATGATTAACTGCCCTGCGCCAGGTATTTCAGGCTATCGATATTTCTCTCCACTCTTTCCATATTTCACTCTTCCTCCCCAATCCCTACACGCAGCACACTGAGTCATCTCTCTCTCTCTCTCTCTCTCTCTCTCTCTCTCTCTCTCTCTCTCTCTC